CACTCCACCTTACATAACTGGCATGTCATTGCCCAGGTTCTACCTGCAATTGTAAAAGAAAATACTGCAACTCTGTCAAATCTACTCCAAATTATATAAAATAAAATGCAAAAATGATATACAATTGCAAGCAATTTAATTGCATACATTTTAGTAGTATGCATTACATAATTGGTCCTTAAAAAGATAAATGCATCTATAAATGTACTCAAAAGAAAAGCTGCAACTTACTGGATACCACTCACACAAACCTACAAATGATGGTCATGTGACTTTTGGTAATGTGACAAGCATACAATGCTGACTGACCAATCAACTGTCAGTATCCATCTTGTGTTGGTTGTCATCTTCTTAACCGTGAAACCAGGTTGACGTTTGAGTGTACATGCCTGGCACAATGTACAATTTTCATGTTAGGGAAGGCTGAGAACACTAGTCCCCATGTAAGTAATCTTTGATTGATGTTGTCATGAACCATCCCACATCTATGCCCTACACCGAGACATCCCCAGGATGAACCCTTCACCATGATGCCTTGTTTCTCCATCCCAACCCTTTATTGTCTCATTACCTTGTGATTCCTTGTTCCCTTGTCTCCTCCCATCCTTATTGTACTTATTATTCTTCCTTGGTTGCCTTGGTATCCTTCCCTTAGGTATTTAGGTAGCTCATCATGTACTCACTACCTCATCCTTGATATTACAAATGCACCTCTGAACTGTTTCTCTGTTCCTCGTCTCTTGTCTCAGTCTCTTGGTTGAGCTCTGCTCTCAGTTATAGGCCCACGTGGTTGAGCCTCTAGCTCCCAGCTCTGGTTGAGCCTTGCTCCTGTCTTGTTACTAACCTAACAATGCCTCAGAGTCCGATTCAGTTCATGATCTCACTCGCATTCAATCCCTTTGCCTCCCAGCCTCTCATATTCTTTATATCTGATTTCGTCTCCCTTCTACCTTTCCAACGACCCCTCATATGCCTCATTCCGCCCAGAACTCATCCTGCTATGCACATATCTCTTTTCACTAACCCAACCAACTCCAATGCCGTAGCCAACTCTGGTGCCGTACCTCCTTCTGGATTGTTCCCAACTCTGAGTTTCTTGTCTGTCTGCAAGTTACGTTCGCTGCAACCCACTTCTGCACCTTCACCTAACCCTCAGGTGCATGAGAGCTTCCCTCTTAGGACGGATCCTCACAGACATTTTGGAATGTCTTACTCCATGTTAAGGCAGCGTAGTCAGTTATGGCAAGAATGTTTTCCCCTTCAAGATATGGTTGGAATTTAATTAATCCTTCCTTCAACACTAATGCCTCCCTCTCTGTAGGGGAGTAATTTCTCTCAGCAGCCTGTAGAACATGCAACCAATATGTGACTATGCACGCGACATGGATGATTGTGTTGTTGAAATCCACATCCCACTGTCCATTCAAAGGCATGTTGGACCCTTCCTTATCCAGCTGAGTAACTAAATTCAGTATAGGTTCACCTTTCCTGTATGCCTTTTCCAATCGTTTGTAATTTTTGGTTCCTTTAAGGTCTCTTATCCTAATAGGCTAAACTTGTTGTAAAATAGCAGCTACATGAAGTCGCAGGTGTTGGAATAAATTTGGTATGGAAGTCCTGCCATCACATGAGCTCTTACTGGAGCCTCTGTAAGAACTTGCTTACACAATTCATAGGCCGTTTGTTCTTCCTTTCCCCAAGTCCATTTATTTTCCCTTTTTAAAAGCTGGAACAAAGGGTGCACTATCCAGGCATAAAACAGGACATAGGATGAGAAGTATACCATCATGCCTAAAAAGACCTGTAAATCATGTACATTTCTTGGGTTCTCAAGTTGTAAAATCACATCTACCTTTTCCTTATGTGTAGACAGTCCTAGCCTAGAAACTTTCTGTCCCAACAACATAATCGACTGATAACCAAAATGGCACTTAGAAGGGGAAAGTGTTATTTCAGCTGATTCAATTGCTCCTAACATGGTCTCTATGTGCTGACAATGTTCTTCAAAGGACTTGGAGAAGATTACAATGTCGTCAATATAAACTAGGGCGATGTTAGAGTCCGTGACTCTGGTTTGGTGTATTCCTGTGAATACAAAAGATCAGTAACAATTTCAAGTAAATTGTACCTACAGAAATGGTTAGCAGAGTCAAATATGAGTCAAATGTGTAAAGGCGTGTTCAGCCATTGAGAGTGGGAATATTTCTTAGAGTGTTGAGAGTCTTGAGTCGTCCAGATGGATTGGTCAGTCGTTGATCAAGGCATTAGCACATAGCTTTAATGGATTGATTAGAGTTGACTAATAGCACGAAGCTTTACTAGTTCACTCTTGGAATGACACTTAGTCTTAAGACTTAAGTCAAATCGTGTTTGGGGCCAAAGTAAGTATGATCCTCACTTGATACATTTAAGACTTACTTAAATACTACATGATATCTGTGAAGCAGTATCTAGAATATTCTACTACTTGCTACCTTATTCCTCTGTTAATTGTTACCGAAACGCTCAAACAGGAACCTGTTTGGTTCCGCTTGCTTTAGTAACAATTCAGGAATTTGTTTGGTTTCCCTTGTAGTCCAAACAGAGTGTGTAACAAGAACACAATTCATATTGCGTGCATCTGCAAGCACTTTGTACTAAGTGACCACTAATACAACTATTTGATCAATAGTAAACTGAATACAACTAAACTGATAGTTAGTTAGGTAATACAAGATTGGAAAGGAGATGATAGTGACAGAGTTTAGGGACTGAGGATGAAAGGGCAAGAACAGAGTAAGGTACCCTAACATATCCCCCCCTGTCCTTGAGATTCGAAGTGCCTTGACTAATCAATGTGAACGTCCGGAAGCGAAAGGATTGTAAATGTGGTAGTGGTGATGGGAGATAATTCAGAAGTGTAGGGTGTGAGATCACCTGCCCCATGTTCGACGTAGCCATTGTCGATCAGAGGTTGCTTGCTAAAAACATCATAGCTGGGATAACATTTAGCGTAGGCTGAGAGGATTGGGTGTAACATGATATCTCTGTTGTCTGACAAGTTATTCAGATTTAACACTCCTAATTGATGACTCAGTTGCTTACCATTGGAAAGGGTGGAAGGGCTTCCCCAGTGTGTAGCTGACTGGGTAAGTGGTGGTATTGTGGTGAGTAGCTACTACATGTGACGTGTCTATGTACTGTGCACATGACCGCACACTGGAGTAGGGAATCCCTATTCCATCTGCCCCCTTCCCATAAGGTGACGTCCCTGTCGCCAGCTGCTGAAAAAGAAGAAGAAATCTAAGAGGACTAGAAAAATGTAGAGTAGAAATCCAGAATCAAACAAAGCAATGAAAGAAAAAGATGTGACGGACACAGTAGGAACATAAACTTGAAGAAAGATCAGTGACGAACCCAACCAAGTGCCTTCAAAGCTTGACTCAAATCCAAGAGGCGTGGATCGGATTCCCAATCGAGTGTAGGAATCTTCAATGGGGTTGATGGCAATGGCGGTGTGGTGGGGTTCGAGACTGGAAAGAGGCGTTGACAAGGAGTAGTTTGTGAGATGGGGAAGAATGGTGGGGCTCAACGTGGCCAAAATGGTGGTCAGGACCGAAAAACCTCATGTTTTTCCAAAGGCAATCGGGAATGGCGATTCCGATGGGCTAATGAGCTGAAGGGGTTGGGGTTGGTGGTGTGGAGGGCAGAAAGGTCACGGCAAGGTTGGTTTTTAGGGAATATGGGGACGATAGGTATGGAGGCGGCGT